ACTGAACTGACATTTCACACAATTCCTAACTTTCATAATCCACAGCAAGATATCTATGTCAATTCAAAAGGCCCGGAGAAGAAATTATTGAGGAAATCTCACTTACTTGGCCTTTGACCTTGAGTGACCTAATGGCAGTGAACTGCACATCGACTGAAGATGATGTCAGTATACTGCATGTTTTGTATATACATGTATATCAGACTTTCATTTTTGGGCTACTAGAAGATCCAGCAACTTTTACTTACAAAATTGAACCCAAAAATAGCTTCAAATCAAATGAAGATTATTTGCTACAGTAATTCTTGAGAAGAATTTGAAAATGTGGAGTGGCTAACAACAGACGACAGAAAAAAAAGAAGAAGGCAATTTCTTACATAGCTGTCCATGTAAGATGTAGTTTTTTTCAATGATGTAAGGTCATGTAAGATGAATGGATCCTGCATGGGTATGACATCACAATGACGTCATGATATGGGAAGTTGAAGTCATTTTACACCATTTTGCTGAATCTGAATTTTCAGTTCAAGATGCTAATTTACAACTATTGCTGTGTTCGTTCAAATATGTGTTCATACTTTTAGTATAAACCAAAACCTGCTTATTCCAGTAGTATAGATAATTTTAAAATTGGTTCATCAAAGAAGTTGATGTTTAGCCAAAAGATTGCTGCTACCCATCTCGATAAAATAAATAGGTATGCTATGTAAGAAAATAACACCATGATATGTTTAAATTATGTAGGATAGAAATATCCCACCCTCAGGTATATAATTTGTGTTTAAAAACCTCCACAATCCTCGTTTTTTTTTTTTTTTTTTTGCCCCAAATTCCATGCCCTCTGATGTGATATTTCTATCCTAGACATATACATATGATATGTTATATATATAGTCTAACTAGCTTGAGCCTTCAGTTTAGGTGAACTTGAAATGCATACATCATAAATATTTACATATCTATATATATATATATGTGTGTGTGTGTATTAAGCAGTAACAAAAACTGGCCACCATACCCCTTTTTCTAGTTTAATCCAAATGTATTGTGACAAAGTGCACCATCTATAAAAACACAAACAGTATCATGTTTTAGGTAAAGTTTCCAATTATAATTGCTGTGCAAGTTTTCACTTTTGTTGGCAAAAAATGAAAAAAAGTGGGTTTAAAAAATCATAAAAACATTTCTCTGTATACCACAGATATTACATATATGACATATTTGTGAAATCTCATTACATAAGATACATATATATAGACCAAATCTGATTGGTATCTCTCCATTGGTACAGGAGAAGAAAGATTTTTAATGTTTCACCTCAATTTCCCCTATTGCCACCCCCCCACCCCACCCCCATCCCCTAGGGGGCCACACCCATCATTTATACAAAACTGAATCCATCTTTGCCCAAGGATTCTCCAGACCAAATTTAGTAAAATCTACTGGGCCGCTGAGGACTAATAGCGTTTTAAAAGAAAAGTTGACTTTGGTTCAATCCCAGGAAGAAGCATACACATGAAAGTATCTCTGCTACAATTATACTATTTTTATTCAGTCTACATGAAAACTGTTGCATACTGGCCATCAATAGCATATGTAACTTATGGAAACAGTTGTATTGAAGGATATAAAACTTAACTGGTCTATCATTAATTTTCACATCATTAACTACAATTTTACTGACCTAACTGGAGCTACATTTGTAGTAATGAACTTGCATACAAGATAACATATACATAATTTATTCAAATTTACATCAATGAAGTTAATTCAACTTATTATACATTAATTGCTCTTGTTTGTCAGGGTATTGTTAGTGTGCAGGTGTCTAATTCTTATCTTGTGAGGAAACTTGAATGCCAATGGAGATCTAGAGAAAATCTGTGGTGTGGCAAGCGACCCATACCGTCCGGCCAGTGAATCGGAATTCAGTGTCTTTGTGAAGGCAGGTGCGCTATCCACTGCACCCCCCTGTATACTTTGTTGAAAGTATGATTATATATATATGACAGCAAGATACCAGTTTTCATCTGCTTCCTTTTTGAGGTTGTTCCTTCCTGTTCTCCTCTTCTCTTTCTCCCCATACTCAAGGCCTAGTGAGTGTCGGCACTGTAATTTAACCAGAAAAAAACTTTGTGTAACAGACAATCAGTGCACATACATGTAAACAAAAAGAATAGGCCCAGTTCATATTTGTTTACCATAAACATATACTTGCAAACTTTTTCGATTTCTAACTCGACCCCTGATCGTATTTGTCAAAAATGCATCAATCACCTAGTGTAAAAGTAGAGGTTATAGGTGGTCTTACAAGCTCAGTCTATGGAGAACTTCTCTTATAGTCTTATTGGTAGGATGTTCACCATGAGAGCGAAAAGTCGCTAGTTTGAGCCCAAGCACGGGCAGACATTTTTCATTACTCCCTCCAGTACACATTTTTACATAGGTCCATATCTTTTATTTGTTAATATTCGGAGCTCTGCCCCCAACCCCCGGTCTTATTTTTGTTTCCCAGAATTACTGTAGAGTCCTTAATAGCATACTTACTTGAACTGAAACTTATCTTAAATTTAGCAGAAAAATGTAAATTAACTGCCTTCCGAGGACCTACGTAACAAATTCTACCCCTCCCTCCTACTACACATAAAACAGAGAAAAACACGCAATGCAAGGCTAAAAATTCTAAATGTTCCTCTTCAGTCCAGGAATACATGTATACTTGTAAAGATACGGCGGAATTGTTGAAGCAACTAACGTTACGCATCACTGACAATATTTACAACCATACAACTTAAATCCTTATCGACAATAAAGGTTGATACTTTTAGCAGTGTTTTTACCGAAAAAACAAACAACAGATATTCTTTGCTGTTTTCGGAGAAATCAGTATGACAATCTAACCCATGAAATGTGCAATAACATATGCACTGATGAAAACTTCGGTACTGTTTCATACAAATGTACCCAACAGCTTTTCGTTGATCCGTCATGTTTGAACAAATGGCTGATACTACTATTACGGTTTCGCCCGAAATTCAGTTTGCCCAGGGGAAGTTGTTTCGTTTCTATTGAACATTAGACCTATGACAAAAAGTAACGTTAAGGCAAAACAGGACTAAAAAAACCATCATAGAATTTGAGTTGGGGGACAGGAATCACTTGGTGCAAAATGACTCAGGGCGAACCAGATTATGGCGAAAGGTCCTGCTTGTTTTTCAAACACCTGTAACAGTAACATTAGGACTACCTCGCTAAGCGTGTGTTATGAACTAAGTTAGAAATGAAAGCTACTGTTCAGCGACAAATCTCTTTATTCATACTGACGAATTAAGTGAAACTGTAAACAAACAATGAATTACATCAGCTCGAGTATGACTGACACAAAATGCGTTATTTTGCAAACTGAAATGTACAAAACACATAAAACATGATTTACTCAGTAAATAGGCATAACGCTTAACCGATTATATTACAAAACTTACAGTGTATGGGGCCACAAACCACATTGAACGGAATGTATGCATTCGATGCATGGAAATGTGCTTCATAGCACAACATACTAGCAACATTTTTATATAACTGAAGAGCAAACTAAGGGTAGTAACTCTAATCGACACTCGTTATATTAAGGCTGCGCGATCCGTGACAGCACACTCCCCGTCTGATATTCTAAATATCACAATATAAAAAGGAATTACAGTGTTATTATTATCTAAAATGTTCAGCTGTAACACTAATGAAAACAAGTTGAGGAAAAAAGTTAGTTCGCATCTACGAGTTTCACGAGATCGACCACTGGACGGATAAAATATGAAAGTTCTCCGTTTTTGCTGATTCTTACTCCCACTTTCCTGACCATGTCATCATCACTTAGGAAGACGCGTGAGATTACACCTAATGGCCACTCATTTCTACACAGACCTTTGTCTTGCAACAAGACGACGTCGCCTTCCTTGATGTTCGGTTGTTCATTGTACCATTTACGACGCTGTTGAATGGTGGGTAGAAACTCTTGTTTCCAAAGTCTCCAGAACTGATCTGCCAAGACTTGAACATGTTTCGACTGAGATTTGTACACTTCCTTTACGTCCAGGTTGATAAAAGGTTCAATATAGTCTCCGGACTTCTGAGTTAAGAGGATGCTCGGTGTTAAAATAAATGGGGACTCGGGGCCCGAAGAAACAGGTGTAATGGGCCTGCCTTTGACAATTGCCATGACCTCGCACATAAAGGTAGACAGCACCTCGTGCGTGAGAGCTTTTCCTCTCTGCTCCAGAAGTAGGGAGTCTAACACTCTCCTCACAACACCGATCATCCGTTCCCAGCTACCGCCCATGTGAGATGCACAAGGCGGATTGAATTTCCACACCGTTCCCGACGCGTAAAGATGATCCCTCATGGTAATGTCCTCCACATTGATAGCGTCAATACGAAGGTCATCTGAAGCGCCCACAAAGTTAGTGCCACGGTCGGATCAATATTCCTTAACTTTACCACGGAGTGACTGGAAACTCCTAAGAGCATTAATAAAGGAAGAGGAACTTATCTCTTCGATAATCTCAATATGGACAGCGCGGCAAGTCAAACACGTGAACATGACTGCCCATCACTTGGAGTTTGATGACCCTCCTCTTGTCCTTCTGGTCACAATCTGCCAAGGCCCAAAGACATCTACTCCAACAAAGGTGAAAGGTGGGACAGGTGTCAGCCGAACATCTGGTAAGTCGGCCATTTTCTGTTGACACATCCTGCCCCGAAGTCTCTTACACTTCACACACTGGCTAAGTAGCTGGTATATCAGGCGTTTTCCTCCAATGATCCAGTAACCAGCCTGTCTTACTGAACCGTCTGTAAAATGGCGCCCTTGGTGACCGACCTTTTCATGACAATCCAAAATGACGAGCTTTGCCAAGTAGGACTTACCAGGTATCAATAGTGGGTTCTTCTGAGATGAAGATATCTGCGCCTTACGCACCTGACCCCCGATATGTAGCAAGCCATCACTGTCCAAATATGGACAGACTCAAGACGTTACTATTCCTAGACAAGGCTTTCCCTGCCTTCAAGCACTCTATCTCTGTACGATAGAATTCAAATTGAACCTCTCTGATGATAAGTTCTGTAGCGTGCTTTCCAGAGTTGACATTCAGGAATGACGAACATCGATGCCAACCTCGACAGTTTGCGTCAGGAGAGCGAAAGCTGTCAGCGATGTGGATGATCCATGCGACAGCCCGAACTAGACTGCTGAGTCTAGAAAATTTCTCAAATGTCTTTGTCCCTAACTTAGACCGACAGACTTCTGTCTTTGCTACTTTGACATAAGTGTCAATATTGTTCTGTGGACATATCTCTGCGTCTTCATCTGGGTTGACTAACTTGAATTCCATGCTAACAGGTTGATTTTTGTCCATCAAGACAGACGGCCCTGATAACCACATACTGTCTTGTAAGTGTACTGCGTTAAGACACCTGGTGCCTTGATCTGCAGGGTTGAGGTTGGTGGGTATATATGTCCACTGATTGGGCTGTGTAAATGCAAGGACTTTGTCGACGCGGTTCGCGAGGTAGATATAGAACCGGCGCACACGGTTATGTAGATAGCCCAGTACAACCATGCTGTCTGTATAAAAGATCATGTCCTCTGATGGAATACCAAGTTCTTCCTCTATTGTCTGACCTAACTGCACCGCTAACACTGCCGCACAGAGTTCTAATCTCGGCACGGTATGACCATGCTTAGGCGCGACTTTTGCCTTGCCAATGACAAATCCAACATGAGAATGGTTCTCCTTGCACACCTTCATGTATCCTACAGCAGATATTGCTTCTTGGGAAGCGTCACTAAATATGTGGATTTGACCTTTAACTTCAGAAGACGTGACGTTGACATACTGACGCAGGACTTTAACTTGGTTGAGGCGGCAGAGTGAATCTCTCTATGATTCCCATTCCTCACGACGATCTTCAGGCAAAGGGTCGTCCCAATCAAAGGTAGAGGCAACATAGTCCCTAAGAATCAATTTTCCCTTCAGAATGACTGGTGCAGCAAAACCTAGGGGGTCATAGAGACTGTTGACTGTAGCCAGTATTCCCCGCCGTGAATACGGCCTGGGTTCCGCCATAGATTTAAAGGTGAAATAGTCGCCTGATATGTCCCAACAGAGACCAAGGCTCCTGTGGACAGGAGGTGTGTCAACATCGAGATTAAGGTCTTTGATACTGTTGGAGAGGTCGCTGCTCTCAAAGGCTTTTAACACCGCTGTACTGTTAGACGCAATCTTATGAAGCCGTATTTTTCCCTCGTCTGAGAGTGCCTGTTGAGTTCTACTCACAAGGCTGATGACTTCTTCTGCTGACTGCAGAGACACACGCCCGTCGTCGACGTAGAAGTTGTCATCGATGAAGTCCTTCGTGTCGTGACCATAGGTGTCGGCGGCACACTCTGCTGTTTTGCGGAGTCCGTAGGTCGCAACAGCCAGCGAAGGGCTGTTCCCAAAAATATGCACCTTCATTCTATACTCAATCAGATCCTCAGAGGTATTATTGTTCTTGTACCAGAGGAACCTCAAAAAGTTTCTGTGTTCTAGGTGTACATAAAACTGATAAAACATTTGTTGTATATCTGCTGTCAAGGCAACTGCTCCCTTCCGAAACCTCAACAAGACACCAATGAGACTGTTGTTCAAGTCCGGCCCTGATAGAAGTACATCGTTGAGTGACACACCGCCACACTTTGCAGAGGAGTCAAATACTGCACGTATTTGGTCCTTCTTTTGAGGGTGGTAGACCCCAAAGACTGGCAAATACCAGCTCTCATCGGTAGTTTGCAAGGGTGGAGCTATCTCGGCATGGCCGTTCTTGAAAAGTTTGTCCATAAATTCAAGAAAATGTTGTCGTTTGACGTGGTCCTTCCTCAGGGACGCGTCCAAGATATGAGCACATTTCAATGCTTGTGATTTGTTGTTTGGTAGTCTCTATCGAGACTTACGAAACGGCAAAGGAGCTGTCCAATGACTGTTTTCATCCTTGCGGAACTCGCAATTCATAATTTCCAAGAATTCTTTGTCCTCGATTGACAGACCGATTCTGTCATCGCGTGAAGTTCTTTCAAACACATCTCCCCCGAGATCGGGCTGATCTTTCAGTGTGAGAGCATTATCACATGCTTGGAATGCCGTAGGAAGACCGTTGGCCAAAATGTTAGTCTTGAAGACATTCAGTGTGTCCGTAGATGATGGAACATGCTTTCCATCAAGGCATACCTCTCCAATAACGGTCCAACCAAGACCAAGTCTTTAGGCGAATGGTGTTCCTTGGGGCCCTGTGCGCTGTTCTAATATATGATGGGCCTCAGGTACATCTCTACTGACAAGTAGGAGAATAGGTGCTTTATCATTCAAAGGCGGTATCTGTATGTCACTAAGATGATCGTAGTAATTCGAAATCTCGGGAGTAGGTATCTCTTCTCTCGAGTTCGGGATAAACGCACATTCTGTGACCGTTGGAAGAACAACACTGAAACAACCATCAAGTGATGTAACGATGAGGTCAGTAGCTTTTCTCCCCTGCATGTCAAGAGATCCTGCACAAGAGATGAGCTCATACGCACATGAGTCCAAATTCTGTATGTTCAATAATTGAAACAGATCGGGGTGCCCCAAAGTTTTATTGTTCTGGTCGTCCAAAATTATGTAGACTTGATGTGTGTCATCTGGTTTGTCAGCAGAGTGCACATTGACCAGGATTGTCTTGGCACAAGATCGTCCAGTAAACCCTTGACCACATAGCCTTGTACATCATGTGGACACATTGGACTCCTCTGAATACTCAGTTTTTGTCTTGTCATTCAGTTCTTGTTTGTATGAAGAGCACCAGCATGCTTGTCACTACCACAAACATTACACTGTAGCTTTACATCACAATCCCTTTAGCTATGGGTAGAGGATTCGCAGCACCTGAAGCACAGGTTACTATCACGTAAAAACTGCTTCCTCTGTGTTATTGTCTTTTTCCTGAACCCTCGACAGTCATTCAGAGAGTGCTTACTCTGGTGTAACGGGCAAAGAGGAAATGGAGGTGTATCTGCTGACGTGCTATCTACTTGTGTCTTTCTGACGCTCACTGAAGAGTGTTGTTTCGATCCAGCTGACTTATAGCTAGGACGTTTGGTGTAGGAGGTAGTATTTACTGTAGAGCTTTCTTGCCTGTTTGTATTGCCATTGGGAGTGCACGAAAGTCCTGGGTCATTCATCATTGTACTTTGTTCTCTTACAAATTCACAAAACTCAGTGAATGGAGGAAATGAGACGACATGACGCTTCTTGTACTTAGAAGCGCGGTTGGTCCATTTGGTCTGAAGTCCATATGGTAGCTTTGCAACTATCGGAAGCACTCCTGTAGAGGAATTAAAGTAGCTCAGCAGGGTTTCGTATTTGGAATCCTCCATGACAGATGCGATCTCAGATAGTATGTCTGACAGTTCGTAGAGCTTCTTCACATCCTTGGTAACTCTTGGAAAGTTTTCTAGTTTATCGCGTAAAGCCTTTTCAACCATTTCGGGACAGCCAAATCGTTCATCCAACCGCTGCCACAGTCTAAATATACCCTTCTCAGGATTTGATGGGTTAGAGGCCCATAGGCTTTTAGCATGTTTCGTGGACTCTGGTCCAAGGTACTTGATCAAGAGGTCAAACTCTTCTGCTGGGCTAAGGCGTAGTTCACGTTTAATATCGATAAAACTTGCCTTCCAGATAGAGAAATGTTCAGGTTTGTCGTCAAAACTGCTCAGTCTCTGGAGAATTAGTTCCCTTTTCATAAGAAACTGTGTGAACTCTGTGAACGCTCCGTGTCCTGGTTCACGGGATGTGTTGTGAGCTGGTTCATGACTAACTTGATGCAGCTCACTGGGTGGCAGAGACCGCTGTGTTGTGAAATTGGCAGTATTCGAGGGACGGGTAAATGGTTCACCGGGTGCCTGTGGTACTGGCTCATGATAGGACACGGATGATCCTAGTTGTACCGGTTCAGAAATAATATGATTCGACTTATCAAATGTTACAAGAGATTCAAATGGCACTGGTTTAGAAACATGACTAGGCTCATGAACAGGTGTGAGCGGTTCATTAAGTGCTCGTTCAGGGACAATACGGTTGGGCCCATGAACAGGTCTGAGCGGTTCATACAGTGCTCGTGCAGAAACAACATAGTTAGGTTCATGAACAGGTTTAAGCGGTTCATATGGTGCTCGTTCAGAAACATGGTAAGGTTCTTGAACAGGTTTGAGCGGTTCATAGGGTGCTCGTTCAGAAACATGGTAAGGTTCATGGACAGGTCTGAGCGGTTGATACAGTACTTGTTGGGGAGCAACACAGGTAGGTTCATGAACAGGCTTGGGTGGTTCGCGTGTTACCTGTTCAGGAACGATATGGCTAGGTTCATAAAAAGGTTCAAGCGGTTCAACCTGCACTGATTGGGAAGTAGGGCGACTTACAACTTGTGAACCATTAGGCCTGTCCTTGACTAGTTCACATGACCCTGTGTTCATCAGTTCATTAACATGTGCACGGTATTGATCATAAGGTACAAACACTGGTGCATTTGAATTAAGTCTACTTTGTTCCAGTATATACTGTCTTTTTACGTTCTGTAAATCTATTTAATTCACTCATCACTACACTAACTTTTTGCTGTAGGGTGTCGAAAATAAGTTTCTGGGCTGCTGTTTCTGATACACTCTGTTGCGAACGTGTTCTGGCAAGATATTCTATAAATTGTTTGTGTTCACCAGTATAGTAATTGTAAAATAGTACATGTAACCTCTCTTTCAGTTTGTTGATTTCTGAAATCTCTGTAGCTCCGGAATAATTATACAGTTCATGTTCAATTTCCTTTTGAATTCCTGATAATCTTCCAGTTAAAGTAAGCACAGTTTCTTCATAAAGGTTACTTGCCTTTTCCGAAAGTGTTCTTGTCACCATTAGGTCGCTGTATCGGTCCCCAGGTCCCTTTGTTGACGATGCATCGTCGGGATGAGCTCCTGAGCTCAAATCGGGTCGTGTAGCTTGTTCAAACACTTTTCACTGTTCAGCGACAAATGTCTTTATTCATACTGACGAATTAAGTGAAACTGTAAACAAACAATGAAATACATCAGCTCGAGTATGACTGACAAAAATGCGTTATTTTGCAAACTGAAATGTACAAAACACATAAAACATGATTTACTCAGTAAATAGGCATAACGCTTAACCGATTGTATTACAAAAACTTACAGTGTATGGGGCCACAAACCACATTGAACGGAATGTATGCATTCGATGCATGGAATTGTGCTTCATAGCACAACGTACTAGCAACGTTTTTATATAGCTGAAGAGCAAACTAAGGGGAGTAACTCTAATCGACACTCGTTATATTAAGGCTGCGCGATCCGTGACAGGACAGCTACCTTTATCTTTGGATTTTAAAATTAGCTATTCATTCAATCAGTTATTTAATATACTCACCTGAATCTGCAAAGCCAACTTATTTTTAAATTTTTAATCATTCAGGCCCTGTTACCTCGGCAAGCCGGTATTCTGCTTCTGTGGGTGTGTAGATGTTGACCAATGAAATAGAGTGTGACGTAGTTACGAAGAACCAATAGAAATACTTCTTTTAGAACGCGTGTGTGGTGTGTGCGAAAGAAAAATCTAAGCTCTGTAGCTCACCACATCTGAATGCACACCCTACATAACGTTTCACCGCTGTTGCGAGGTACCTCTTAAACTTTGTGGGTGAAATTTAGAGTAACCATGGATGCATT